GTTTTCATGCTGGTGGATGTCTGCTCAAAAGGTCCAAGTGATACAGAAAATCATACAGAGAAATGCTGGGGCTCCAGAGATTTAACTAAGAGCAACAATATTAGATAGTACCATATCCTTTCCTTTGACACATGCAAAGCTATGGAGTATTCCAATAAAGGTGGATTTGTTGTGGATATATTATTGTGTTCTCATTTAATCTAGCATGTAGGATGAGCTTTACCTCCTGGCAATCCCTGCTCCAGAAAATTTCATAGTGCAACTGTAGAACTGCCAGAGCCTCACTGATCTGTTGAATCTGGTTTATTAAGTCTTGACACAAGGAAGTGCCTTCTTCATCACCACAATAGAATCAGATCATTGTATGTACACTATCATACTGTAAAAACAAACTACTTCTCACCCTCACACATGAACACTATTGTTTCTAGTGTTGTGTCTAGACTCCAGAAAGTAGGTGCTAGTTTGGCTCATGGTTCTAAACATCTTGGGCTGTTTGATGTAGGTCTGGGTTTTCTCTGATTCAGTTAGAATGAATGGACACGGTACCGGTCTATCTTGGTGGGTCAGTGCTGACCATGGGTCATAGATAAATTGGTGGAAAACTCGGGTTAGTGGGTACAATGTGAGAACCCTGGCATCAGATTACAGACCTCCATTGTGATACACATCAGCCTACTCACCCGTGAGATTTTCTGAGTTCCTTCTTCAGGTAATCTTAGCTTCTCTAGACTCAGTTGGTGCTTTCTTCCTATTTCTTTATGGTCCAATTTTGTTTAAAACTCTGCCAGCATTCGCATCTTGAATATCCACTATATGGAAAATTGATGATAACTGCCAAAAAAGGAAATTCCCTCCAAGTGTTAAGTTTATGTTTTGGACATGAAAAGAGCTTCTAAAAGTTACCTTTTTGTACTATATCTCTCAGAAACTCTAGCCATTAGAGCAACTACCTATGTTAACTAGGGAATTCTAGTAGTTATCATCCAAAATATAACTTTTCCAAGCTCTGGGAAGAATACAGTGATTTGAGCATAGTGTGTGAAACAAAAAGCAAATACAATACCAGAATAAAGACTTGTGACTAGGCAAGCCTAGTTACCAAAACATATAAATAATTGGCTCTGAGAGCCCCAAATAGTTTTTAATCCATCCTGACCTCTCATGGCATCAATTGCCAAAACCACATTATTGAATTTCATTTGGCAAGAGTGCTCAGTATTTATCTAGTGGTGTGATTAAGCGTGTTGTGAACTTGTTTGGAATGATACCCCTTCACCCAATCCTGCTGCTAACTTTGGGGATGGAAGTATGTGGATAGGCTGTTTTTAAATAAATGAATCTTAGTTAAAATTTATTATCAAAATTTGGAAACATATCAATGGGCTTTAGGGACACTCTCCCTGGAGAAAGCTGGTTTTTCACAACTGCCTTTCTCCCATTTTTTCTATACTCTCTCAAAGCTGACTGAATTCCAGAGTCATATCTTCATCACATATACATAATTAACTACTTAGTTAGAACAACTTAACTGGCTATGGCTACTTAGTTACATTTATAATTTCATATATGTAAGTAGCTAATAAATATGTCTGTGATGGAAACTTGCTTTCTGAGAAGGGAATAACATTTCTATGTAGAAAAATACTGTGTGCTGCACAAAAACCAACATGGATTTTTCAGGCAGAATGAGTTGCAAACTGTGAAGATGTGTGCCTGCATACAATTCTCCTTGACAGGATGTCCTGACATTTGAGAAACCTCTTTTTCTTCTAGTATTCTAATATTTATGAATATTCTTTCCATCCTCACTGGCTAGTCTTTTCAATCTCTATTGTTCAGCTGGATATAATGCAAGATTGGATTGCTTAACTCTTTATTTAAATTAGCTCAAGCAGTGAAGGAAGGGTAGCTATATTGGGGCCTTGGAAGAGGGAGGGTGCCTTAGCCTTCTCTCCTTATACTTCCATTCTATCCAGAAGTTCACATTAATTGAATCCTAGCATTGGATGAGACCACAAGGGCCACCCAGTCCAAGAACGTGCCATGTAAAAATATACCATCAAAGCATCCCTGGCAAATGGTCATCCAGCTTCTGCTTAATAATCTCCAGAGAAGGAGACCCCACCAGCAGTTTTGAATGTTAAGATTGTGGTGGAGGAAGGAAGGAGGAGAAACTTCCTAACCAATATTAATAGCTGCAAACTGAATTCAAAATGGTAAACTAGTTTGCACTTAATTAGCTCAGCAAGTGGAGAGAAAAAATGGAATCTTAATAATACTAATAATAATTTTATTTCTTACTCACCCCTCCTCATGGCTTGTGGTGGGTTACAATATTGCTAAAAACACCCATAATCAAAACACATAATCATTTAAAAACACTCCGTAAAATACATATATTAAAATATATTTCCTTTTTTTTTTTGTCGTGTCAGGAGCAACCGCTCCTCTTGTGAGAGAATTGGCTGTCTGCAAGGACGTTGGCCAGGGGACACCCGGATGATTTTTGATGTTTTATCATCCTTGTGGGAGGCTTCTCTCATGTCCCCGCATGAGGAGCTGGAGCTGATAGAGGGAGCTCATCTGCCTCTCCCCAGATTCGAACCTGCGACCTGTCGGTCTTCAGTCCTGCCGGCACAGTGCTTTTAATGATTAATTTTAAACTTCCGCTCCATGTCTATTTTGTGTATTTTAATATTATTTTTTTATATATTTCCATAAAATAATATTAAAATACACAAAATAGACATGGAGCGGAAGTTTAAAATTAATCATTAAAATTGCTTGGATAAACCTTCTGGAAGAGATAGGTCTTCATTTGTGTCTTAAATTCCAACAATGGATGTAGCTTTCAGAGCTCTACTAACAGGTCATTCCACAGTCTTGGGGAGGCCGATGAAAAGGTCTGGGTGATGGTTGCCAGTTGGGTTCTGGCAGGGTGGAGCAGACATCCCCCAGAGAACCTCAGTGTTTGGGGCAGATTGTATGAGAGAAGGCGATCCTGTAGGTAACCTGGACCCAAACCATGTAGGGCTTTAAAGGTCAATACCAACACCTTATACTTTGCCTGGTAACTAATTAGCAACCAGTGAAGTGTCTTTAGGATAGGTGTACTATTCTCACTCCTAGATGTTCCTGTAGCCAATCTGGCCGCTGCATTTTAAATCAACTGAAGTATCCAAACTTGGTATGGAGGTAGCCCAATGTAAAGCACATTGTAGAAGTCTAACCTTGATGTTACCAGTGTATGCACTGCCATTGTCAGGTCCTCCAAATCTAGGAAGGGGTCCAGCTGACATAGTAAGTAATCCTGACTGTCATATCTACCTGGGCTAACATTTGGAGAGACAGATCCAGGAGCACTACCTAGCTATAAACACAATCATTCAGGGAAAGTGTAAGGCCATCCAGGACTAATTGACACACCTCCATCCCTAGATTAGGACCCTTGATGGCAAGTGCCTCTGTTTTGTCTGGATTCAGTTTAAGTTTTGCCCATCCCAACAGGCTCAGGCAAAGGCAAACTGCTTCAGCCTCTCTTGGCTTGTGAGATATTATAACTTTTGCCATCTTGACCCTGCTCTGATGGTGCTTGGCCAAATGCATGCCAGATTTTATTTGTGAAATGCTGTAAAGTATGAATACATGAAGGATGCTGGGTTTTGTGATGCATTTCCTTAGGCATATTTTATTCCCTCTTGCTACATAAAAGAGAACATGGAATGCTTTGCCAGAGAGAGCTGCTGTAGGTCCTGTGCTAGTTTTTTCAATCACTATTTTTTCTTTAAAGATTTTGTTAAGGCTCATTAAGACAAGAAGAAAAGCACGTGTATAGCATTCAATCCTTTGGAAGCCAAAGCTTTTAACGGAGTGTTGGCTCAACCTTCCGTACTGTGTGTTATTAGCGTACATGTTTGGAAATGCAACACAGCTGTATTTTTCTAATTAGGGCCCTGTGTGTCTACTGACTCCTTCTTATTGAAGGTGGCAGGAAACAGAGCAAGCGACTCCAATCTCAGGTTTTGAGGGGGGCTGGCTGGCCTGGCTTGGCCTACCCACCACACAAATACTTCCCTGAACTGTTGGAGGAGGAGACTGTCGAAAGGAAGAGGCCCAAGGGCAGAAAATATCCTTTGACTCCACTCATCATCATCCCATGAGAGGGCTGGTTGAGGCATGTGCAGATGTTCGGCTGGGGAACTTCAGTCAAACGTTTGAGCCTGAAGTGCTTTTAGTGAAAACAGATGCAGGAACCCAAATGGCTGAAGTTGGAGAAATGGAAATGTTTATGCAAAGCAACGGGTCTTTGATAAAATCCGTCGTTCATTTCTACACTGTCAGGCCCTCTTGAATCTGCTTTTTTCGGCTTCTTAACAGGCTTACTTCTTCAGAGGGATCACTGCTTGATAGACGTGAACTTGCTCTAATCCAGAGAGGAGTCCTAATAGGAAAATAACTTTACATAACCAGTTGGAAATAAACAAAAGGCATTTTATAGTTTCTTTTATAAAGATTTATGTTACTTGTTAGTGCTAGTTGGGTGGTGGTTCTGAAAGTTGTAGTCCAAAAATGTAACTTTTCACAAGCTTTTAAAATCAGCACACTATGATTGTGAAGTTACTTGGAGCTTCAGAGTGCTTCTGCAATGACAATATAATCTATCTTGGAACCAGTTTAGGAAGAACTGGCTTCGCCTCACAGGTGATCAGATTGCCATGCCTAGAATCAGTTTGAGGCCAGGAAGGTGATTACATTGAACACAGAACCTTGCCTTAAACTACTTTGCAGGTCCCCTCTTTCCCTCATTTTCCTCAGAGATACACATCAATGCACCAGAGGTATACAGAAGGAAAAGTGACAGCAACTTCAAAGTAAACAATTACACCACCCAGGAGGTTGAATAGGCCCCAGCTACCCATCCATGCCCTCAAGGCATGTTTTGGCAGTCTCTTCTTTACTATGCTTCAGTGGAGGGAAGTACTTACAATGCACTGCACATTTTGCGGAACTCATTTTACCTTGGATCTGGGCCACACTGGCATCTGCTGAAGTCCATTTTTGACAGAACTCAGAGTTTCTTTGGACTTTTAAAAAGCACAATATAGCCTTAGATGCCCACTGCAGTGTACATTGGTGCTGTGCATTTTGTGGCCACTGTGTCTTCAAGTCAGCTTCAAATGGCATTATATGGTCAGTGTAGAAAGGTCTTCAGATGCCAGTCTTTTGCCAGTTAATATGCTGTTATTACAAAATGGAACAAAATACATGTAGTTATGTTTGATTAACTATTTTTACTTGTTTTTCAGATGTATTTTCACAACTGCTATTACAATCATGGTTTTCATACTACTTCTGAAGTAAAAATTGCTTCACCCAACACTTTTTTGTACATTACACTAGTAGCAAAATGATGAGTTATACATTTTTAAATAGAATGAAATAAAGTACAAGAGAGCCCTCTTATCCATGGACTTGATGTCAATGTTTTGACTTATCCATATTCCAAACAATATTCCCCCTGAAAGTGTTTGTGAGCTGCATGTACTACTGCATGTAAGTTGCAGAATTAATGCAGTTTGGTGTCATTTTACTGCCATGCCTCAATGCTATAGAATCCTGGGAGCTATAGTTTAATGAAGCTCCAGCATTCTTTGGCAGAGAAGGCTAAAGAACTTATAAAACAACATCTTTCATGATGCTATAACATTGAGCTATGGCAGTTAAAGGGTGCCAAACTTCATTAATTTTACAGTATTTCCAGTGCAATTTTCTGGTATGCTTTCAGCCCAAGTATTGTCAAGATACTATCCATAGTTTCAGTTATCCATGAGGGTAAGGATCTTGAAATATATCCCCAGCAGGTATGGGACTCACACTGTAAATGAGATTTTTTCACTAATAGTTAAGTCAGAGGACAGGGAACTATCACACTGACAATGTGTAACTTACCCTGGTAGTTTTTCTTTTTCTTTTGCTGGAGTGTGGAATACCAATATGCAAAATAAAAAATAAATGAATGTTACATATGAGTCACTGGAACATATCAATTGCAGTGAAGCTTGTCAAATTGCCAAACTCTGCTTTTTTGGAAAGGAAACAGCTCTCAATTGATCACATGCAGCCATACTGAAGGGGAAACATACAGACTAAATTAAACACCATTTGGTAGATTAGGAAGAAATAAACAAACTCTTGGCTTCTAGTGTTCTGGCTAGTAAGTAAAAGCAACTGGGAAGTGCATACTTCTTAGCATAATTTTATTTTAATAAAAATTATTACACTTTGCAACTGTTAACATACTGATTTTTCATTTGGATTGATTTACAGTACCCCAGCATATCCTTAAGCCCCCCTCCCCTCCCCTCCCCTCCCCTTCCCTTAACCTCCCTCCCCCAAGTAAAACATGGTTGCTAGTCTGGCCATCTGGTTTTGATATACACTTTGGTTGTGTTTCCTGCTCAGCTTTGTGAGCTCTACTTTGTAGCACAGCTCATGTTGTTAAATGGGAGGTGCTCCTGGAATTTAAGCTGATCAGAAAATCCTGTCCTGTATAATCAAGAGCCCTTTGCTCCTCAGTTCTCAGGTGGGTTGTGTTTGTTCTATACAGTAGGGGTGGCCTGTGGACTTCATGAGGGCTCCAGTGTTATTTTGAGTTCCGCATAGCAACCACATATTGGAACATTGAAAAAAACCTAAAATGGTCCCTATATCCCCCAAAATGTGTGGAAAAAATGTTATTTTGTAGGCTCCCTTTTGCTCAAGAGAAGACTTTATCTAAGAAGGAAATAGATTTGAGGCTCCTTGGATAAAGCACCAGAAGCCTAGAAATTATGGAGGTGACAGGATGTGTGATGATGCTAGTAATAGCAATTATTTGTAGGATCTTGTTGCTCAAGTGGGAATCTCTGTTGGAAAGAAAGAGAGCAGAAAATTAGCCTACACTCATGATGCACATGCTTTCCATGAGTAAAGAACAAACAGAGAGTTAGTCCTCCTCAGGTGCCCAGACAGTCTTTTGTCCGCTCAACCAAAACTGACTTTACTAGATTGACACTCATTGGGATTCGGATTTCCATTCTTCTTGGACTTCTGTCAAGGAGGAGGAGACTCCTTGCCTTTAGTCTAAGTAGTGCATGAGTATTGCCTCCTGTCTGATTTGGTTAGATGGCTACCTGGAACAACTACTTCGATGTATTTGTTTTAATAGATATTACTTTTCTTACTTAGGAAAGTAGTCTTTATATATCTGCTCTCCAGGGAAACAGGCAAGTTCTTTAGTCATTATGATACTCAAGCAGACTTACTTACCTACATGACATGAAGAATTCACACTGCTACCTGTTCCTATAGTTATAGCTCAATGTACAAGAGGAAGGAACAGCAATTGAGTACGATCATGGCAATGAGAGTTTAGGCTTTGGTCCAGTCTTGGTCTAAACCTGCCAGAGTCCTATGCGCACATATTTGGGAACAATCCCAAATACATTGAGATAGAAAATTAAGATAGTTCTAGTGCCAACCAGACAATGAGCCAAAAGGGACAGGAAGCAACACTTACCTCCTTTTCCTTGGAGCCAAACAAAGATATTGTCTCTTCCTTAGAATCCTGAGAAAAGCCTGAGAAGAATATAGGACAGATGATATCAGCAGCTCAAGAAATAAACATGCGAAATAGAAGAGATTGTTTTTAAAAGCCACTCCGCAACTTATGGTGTGGTTATAGCTCTGACTGAGTGTAAATTTGATGGATCATGTGGCCAAATTTATAGATTTTTTTTTTAGTTTCAGCTTGAGTTCAACAAGAAAGCAAAGGTATTTGCTTCCTCTATTTCTCCTGCTGCTTCTGCTGCCTGGGTGGTTTCCGCTCTCAGGATTAAATGGAACTGTTTCCTGGTCACAGTCCAGCTGCAAATTAATGTTTGGAAATTATAGTTACAGCACTCATGCATAGTGTAGCAGCACAAATGGTTAGTACTGCCATCCCAGACAAAGGGGCTCTGCAGAGTAGTCTGGACAGGGGAAGCTTAACTGAAGAGCTGTAAATAAAAAGGAGTTATTCTCTACTCATACTGATTATGCAAACCAAAATTTGTGGGATCAGTATGACTAGAACAAGTTATAGGATTAGAAGCTCAGATAAACCATTAGACACTGGCAGATTGATCCAAATGAGGGAGAATGGAGTAGTAGTTTGAGTTTTGGACTATGATTTTGAAACAGAGTTCAAGTCCACACTCAGCTTTAAAGATCCACTGGGTGACTTTGGGAGAGTCATAAATTCTTACCCTCAGAAAAGTCCATGATATTTTTCCTTAGGGACATCATCATTTAGAAATTACTTAAAGGCACACAACAACAAGACAGATCTGTACCCAAAAGCTATCCAAGATATATTACTTGCTTTTAGTGCTGCCTCTTGTGTTTGGCAGTCTGAATTGGTCAACTCAAGTGGAAGATGCTGGGTGATAGTAGAAAGCAAATATAGCTTTCTCTGAGTACCCAACAGTGCTGCAGCTAAGTATGGTAGTGGAAGCTCTCCTGTTGTCAGTGTTGAAGAAAGATGTAACTTCCAGTATAATTGGTTTACCTCCATAAGATGTGTGTGTGTGCATGCACGCACACAATTGCGTTCTTATTTGGAGCATGATATCTTGGGATGAGTCCGGCTGCTTCCATGTACCTAGATTAAGTGAATACAGCTGGGGAGAAATCCTATCATGAGATACAGCAAATGATTAACAGACCATTAAACTTTAGCTCACAAAATCTGTATATATCACAGGGTCTGTGCAGGTGATTGCTAAATCATTTATCTCGACTGAGCATGAATCACTGAAGGATGGTAAGACCTATCTGGGGGAATGAAAACCATAAGTCTTGTTTCCTATCTTTTTCGAACAGATGGCAGATATGTAATATGTACTTCAAATTTTCAACTTCGGAGGCACCCCAGATACAGAGTCTTTCTTTGGGTGGGATATGATTAAATCTACAGTGTCTCTCCACTGATTCCATTTGTTCAAATTTGGCCCTTGTAAAAGCGATTCTTAGGTGTCTTGGCATATCAGCTATTAAGTAAAGTGCCCGCTGAAAGTTTTGTTTGAAATTACCTAACCACTCCAAGGAACCTTGCTTGGTAGAGTGGCTATATCAGGCATGGGCAAACCCAGGCCTGTGGGCCAGATGTGTCCCCTTGGGCTCTTCCCTCTGGCCCTTGTCTACCTTGGTCTTCCTCTCAGCATGCAGGCACAGTGGCTCATCGCATACCCAGGATGAGAGGAGGGCTGAGGCAGAGACACATGGCTGCCGATAGCTCTCCAGAGAGCTATCAGCACTGGCCTGTCTCCTCCTTCCCTCAGCATAGTTACATGGTGGGCTACTGGGTCCTCAGCTTAAAGGACAGCCGGGGAAAGGACAGGCCACTGATGAGAGTTCACAGTAGCAGTCTGTCTTTTCCCTAGCTCTCTTTTCAGCCTAGAGACATGATGGGCTGCCATGTTCCCAGGCTAAGAGGAGGACACTCTTTCCAGATGCCAACCACCCTAAGCTGACCGCCCCTCCCCCCCGCATCAACTGCCATCAGCCTCCTCTCACTTCCCCAGCCTGGCCTGCAATGTGGCTCCCCACCCAAAAATGTTTGCCCATGCCTGGCTATATCTTTCTGCAATTCAATATCTAAAATCCTTTGAGTTACTAACCTTTTCTCAAGGTCCCTATTGTGATCTAAGGAAGAGATGTATAAACCACAAGTACAGAGGAACTCAAAGGATTTCCAGAGGCATCTGATTGTCTACTGGATTATCTGAATAGATCCTTTAAATTCACGAGGAAGGCATAGCATGGAGATGTGTGTGCATTTGGAGTGTGGCCAAACAATAACTGGACAGGGGGCAAACAGATCCCACCGCTGTCCCTCCAATATAAAGGCAATGCAGATGGCAATACGATCAATCACACCATCTGACACCAAATTATAAAGAATTTACACCACTTTGGCACCAATAGAACTGTTATGAGGGGATTGTCTCTAATTAATTTCCGCTGCCACCATAAACTAAATGAACAGGAACACTCTAGCTGTTTAAACTATTAAAAGGCTTTTTAGACCACCAAGTACTGTGTCTTCCTATGTGTTTTCTTATTTAAAGGGAAGCAGGTGAGGTTGAAAAGGAACAGGGACTGAATCCACAAATGTACACTTGACTCAGGCTGTTTTAGGTTTTAAAAATAATCAAGTAAAGTTTATTGATATAGTACAGAAGAGAATGTAAATGCTGTCTAATAAGCTTGGCTGTTACAGTTAAAATGTTCTGGTTCTTGAAAGCGTAACGGTTGCAGGAGAATGGTTCTTTCTTTGTTACAAATATAAAACCCAGCTATTTCTTCCCTAAATAGCTGTACCCAGTTTGCCACAGCTTACTTCGCTGGCAAACTTCAGGCAAACTGCCTATTCTAATCACGAACTCCTAATTCTGTAATCCTGCCCTAACTCTAACATCAACAGACTGACTCCCTAAAACAGCTTCTTTCTTTCCCTCCAAACAGTCTAACCCCGCCCCCCCTTTAATAAACCAATCCTGGCTGCTTTAAGGCTGGCTCAGGCCTAGGCCACTCCCCCTCTCTGAAATGGAGCTTTCCCTAAACTAAAATGGCTCCTGCTGCCCTCTGCCAGGCCTTCTAAGGCTGAACTAACTGGCCTGTCTCTCCTAGGCCCTGCCACCCAGGCTGGCAAGGTAAGGGATCTTCACATTCCCTCCCCACCTCAAGATGGTTTGCGGAGTGAAAAGGTTTGCAGACCTTTTCCGAAGCAAAGCCTAACAATATCCTAGGCCTAACTAACCCCTCTAACTAATCTATCTATCTAATCCATCTATCTATATACATACCCACATCTAAATACATTTTGCAATACTCACATCTGCAATAAACACATTTTGCATTAACACATATGCAATAAATACATTTTGCAATTCAATATACACAATAAATACATTCCTGTAGGGAAAAAAACATGTTAAATACATAGCAACAATGCATATAAACAATCTAACATAGCAAATACAATACCTTTTCTAATCCTAATCTTTACCTTAACTCAGGGCTCTGGACAACGTATCTGCAATGACATTTTGAGTGCCCTTTATATGTTTTATTTCAAAATCATAATCTTGGAGTGCTAAACTCCAACGAATTAACTTACTATTAGTGCCCTTAACCTGGTGTAACCACCTTAATGGTGAATGGTCAGTGCACAGAGTAAACCTTCTTCCCCATAAGTATGGTTTTAATTTTGTGATAGCCCACACTATCGCCAAACACTCTCTTTCAATTACTGACAAGTGCTGTTCCCTTTCTATTAGCTTTTTACTGAGATACAGCACAGGTTGCATCGCACCTTCTTCGTTTTCCTGACCTAGCACTGCTCCAAGTCCTACCTTGGAGGCATCCGTGGTTAAAACAAAAGGTTTCTCAAAATTGGGCGCTATCAACACAGGTTCACTCATTAAGGCACTCTTCAATAAATCATAGGCGGTCTGACACTCAGTTGTCCACTTAATTTTATCAGGTGACTAGCTTGGGGACCCGGCGTTGCCCGGGTTATTAGAGAAAGTGGGTAATGGCGGTTCTGTATGCCAAGTTTGGTCTTTATTGGTCTTTGGATAACGGCTGCATTATTTTCAGGAAGTGAGTGAAGGTACTTGAAGTCCCATCATCCATGGGCCATCCTCCTACAAACAGCAGCAGGATATAGAGTGGGTCATGGGGGCTCTGTGTGCCAAGTTTGGTCTTTATCAGTCATTAGATGAGGGTGGCAGTGGTGTCAGTAAGTGAGTGAAGGTACTGCAAGTCCCATCATCCAAAGTCCATCCCTTTCAAACTGCAGCAGGACGTAAAGTGGGTCATGGGGGCTCTGTGTGCTAAGTTTGGTCTTGATCAGTCATTGGATGAGGATCACAGCAGTCTCAGAACATAAGTTAAGGTACTGCAAGTCCCATAATCCATAGTCTCCCTCAAACATCACCAGAATGTTGAGTTGGCCATGGGGGCTCTCTGTGCCAAGTTTGGTCTTTCTTGGTATTTGGATGAGTGTCACTGTGGTTTCAGGAAGTGAGTGAAGGTACTGCAAGTCCCATCATCCATTGTCCGTCCTCCTCCAAACAGCACCAGGATGTAGAGTCGCTCATGGGGGCTCTGTGTGCCAAGTTTGGTCTTGATTGGTCATTAGATGAGGGTTGCACCAGTCTTGGGAAGTGAGTGGAGGTACTTGAAGTCCCATCATCCATAGTCTGTTCTCTCCCAAACCTCACCAGAATGTTGAGTTGGCCATGGGGGCTCTGTGTGCCAAGTTTGGTCTTCATCAGTCATTGGATGAGGGTCTCAGTGGTTTCACTGAGTGAAGGTACTCTAAGTCCCATTGTCCATGGTGCATCATCCTCCAAACCGTACCAGGATGTAGAGTGCATCATGGAGACCCGGTGTGCCAAGTTTGGTCCTTATCGGAAATTGGATGATGTTTTGCAGTGGTCTCAGGAATTGAGCGAAGGTACTGCAAGTCCCAAAATCCATGCACGATCCACAGTAAAACCTCACAGTCAAACCTCACCAGGGCATAAAGTGGGTCATGAGAGGTCTATGTGCCAAGTTTGGTGTTGTTCAGTCATTGTTGAGGGTCGCAGCAGTCTCGGAAAGCGAGTAGAGGTACTTCAAGTCCCATCAT